GTGTCTCTGTTTTGCCATATATATTTTGAAGTGAACAATTACAATTTACAGCACAGTTGATCGTGTCAGCTTTCTTTGACAAAGTAGACTGCCCTTTGTCCCAGACAGAGATCTGTATGTTCTGCGTTTTCCCAGTGAATTTACTTTAATGGATTTAAAGAGTTCAGGAACCTTTTCAAGTGTGGTTCTTCTCAGAAAAACAATGACTATAGAACTAGTCTCAGAGATTGCAATACTTATTGTGCCTCAATGACTCGAGTATCTGTTGATGAGTATACAAGTCTGTTGATGAGTATACAAGTAACGGTATGTTATGTCTAAGTACATGTCGCACAAACTTAGCTAGAATCTGAAAGTCAAGCTGTGCTCTGTCCTTCGCCCACATCATTGCCAGTAATAAAGATCTGTCAGGCAAATTCTGTCACCAGTTACATCTGTGCAACCTTACTGTGTCCAACAGAGTGGCATAAATGTAACTAGCATGGATAGGTCCAAGGGATGGAAAACTTTGAATGAGGCTTTCTGGGTGGAAGCTGGTTAACAGTTCGGTTGATGAAGCTTGAGAAGGAATAGAAAAGCTTTGTTCCCCACTTCTGCATTGGGTCTGTAGTGCTAGCTGCAATTAAATATTGAAATACTATAAGACTCTACATGGCCCTAGGGAGGAAATCTGAGGCATAAGAAGGTGCTGTTTTTTCAGGGTTGCTTTTCATAGTAGAATAGAACTTCAGAATGGGTTAATCATATAGGCAATACTTTTCCTTCTCTCTATCTCTCTTCAAATCACCACTCCTCTAAGGGCCTGATCCAAAAACTATTAGAGTCAATGGGGAGTCTTGTTATTTACTTCAAAGGGCTTTGGATAATGCTCTTACTGAGAGGGTGAATCTCTATCTATCTATCTATCTATCTATCTATCTATCTATCTATCTATCTATCTATCTATCTATCTATCTATCTATCTAATCATTGTTGTACCTGAGCCTCTCATGTTTATACTCAGAGCTCTCCTGTGACTTAGGGAATAGTATCATCCTCATTTTACAGATTGAAAACTGAAGCCAAGGTCACAAAAGTGTGTTTTTTGAAGTCCCAATGTTAGTTTCTAAGGTGTCCAATGGGAAAGCATAAATGCCATTTTATCAGAAAATGAACCTGGCAGCACTGAATGTGTTTAGACTGATCAAGTCTTATGGATGCTGTATAATAATTGTAATTCTCCAATACCCAATTGTTAACATGGACTGGAAATGCAGCTCTTTCTAGGTAGCTATGTAAGACTTAAGAAGAATGTAAGCTCTGCAGAAATAAGAAATGGTGGAAAAAGTAAAGGTTATTTGGTCCACTAAGTTCATCTTTGGTTTTATCTTGACTCCACCCCTGTGGTCTGATTTCACGTTCTTCACATTCTTTGGCCTTGTGCCTGGTAACTTGAGCTGTCTGAATCATTCCTGGCTAAATTGGTCCTTATTTCTACTCCCAAACTGACGCTGATTATTACAGATCTATGCATTATTCATAATTGTTCAGTGAACAGTTTATGCAGATAGATTCCATTATATGGGCTGTTCGCAAGCTGTTCACTTAGGGCTAAATTGTGACATTAGGGACCACCTTGCAGGAGGGTTGATGTGTAAGCTGCACTGACTGAAGAGGAATTATGCTGAGTGTCAAAGCTCTGAATTGCAATTCTGGCTCCTAGGCAGTTATTTACCATACCTGCAGTTAATTACTGCTCCCAGATCATGCTGATCGACCTACTCTGGTCAGTGAGTGGGTCTGGAAACAAGGCTCTAGAATTAAGCTAGCAGAAAAAATTATCCTGAGCAGACTAGTTAGCCTAAGAAAAGGATGGGCTATGGTTACTATAGTGGTATTTAACCCCAAGACACTTAGAGTGGTATCCTGGGTCTTGGGACACTCAGATCTAGGTTTCACCATAAACTTTTCATGTGACTTTGGCAAGACATTAAGGGAATGTCAACACAGCAGGGCTAACGTTGAATTAAGCTATGCAACTTCAGCTATGTCAGTTGCACAGCAGGAAGTCGGAGGAAGAACACTCTACCTTCAACTTCACTTACTCCTTGTGAAATGAGGGTTACAACAGTCAGAGTAAGAAGTCCTTATTTCGTAATAAAGGCTTGTAGTGTAGATGCACACTGTGTTATTTTGGAATAATGTCAGTTACTCCGAAATAACGCTACTGTGTAGACATACCCTTAGTGTCTCTGTCCAGATTTTCAAGAGTTTTATGTATTGAAATCCCATTGAAATTAATGGGAGGCAGACATCTAAAGACTTTTGAGAATGTAGGCCACCATGCCTCAGTTTCCCATTTGCGAAATGGGGATAATAGTCCTACCTCATAGGAACTGTTGGAATGAAAAATGTATTAAAGATGTTGTGACATTCAGGTCCTTTAGTGATGGGAGCAATATAAGAATGTAGATGTCAAGACCTTATATAGATATCCTTATCTACTCCAGGTGTCTATAGAGCACCTTTAGCTACAGCTTCTAGTTGCATACATTATGAAGAGGAAAATGCATCTGTCAAGAAACCTCCACAGGGAAGAGAGGTGGGCAGCAATCACTGTAAGCATTTTGGACATTGTAGAAAATTGAAAGTTTAAAAGCCTTTTAATATTTTTCCTCATTCATACACAGGCTTTTTACTGCTGAACATTTGGAAGAGTGGGTGTTCCTGCCAGTGACTCAAAAACACCTTTGTGTGATATGTCTCAACCCACAAAATGCCAAGACATTCAATATCATTAAACACATGGGACCAAATTCTGCTGTCAATTAGACAAGCACAACTCCAACAGCATCTATCTACTATGGGGAAAAATTCACTAAAGATTCCTTCACAAGAATTTTAGAAACACAATAGACTAGGGATGTCAATGATGTATTCAAAACCTGCAGAATGTAAGATTTCATTAAAAGAAGAGTACATTTCTAGATAGAACTGGTTGAAAAAAAGCCTGAAAAGTTTAAATTTGCTACCTTTTTTCCTTCCAAGTTCAAACCTTCAGCAACAACAACAAACAAAACTTGAAACATGGAGTTTTGAAATATCCCAATCTTCTAGTAGGGTTGCAAAGAAATCCTGTGTAGCAAACAAACAATGTACAAAACAATGTAGCATTATCATCCTGAGTCTGCTGGAAGCCTGAAACAATGATTCTGAACTGTTCAAAGCCCTTCCCACCTGATTAATCTCAGTGATGTGTAAGCTCTGAAGTATGAAGGCGTGTTCCTTAATGTGATTGTTAGCTATTCCATTGCAGATCATTTTGTTAGATGGAAGAGGAGAGTGAAGCCTATCAAGTGTTAAACTGAGACTGGGAGCCAAGAAGAAAATACAAAGGAAAGGCTGGGGAGAATAGGGAATGGAGAGAAATAAAGGACAGAATAGCCAAAGTCTTGAGTACTGTGTACAGATGTGGTCTCCTCACCTCAAAAAAGATATTTTGGCCTTGAAAAGGGTTCAGAAAAGGGCAACTAAAATGATTAGGGGTTTGGAACAGGTCCCATATGAGGAGAGGCTATAGCGACTGGGATTTTTCCAGTTTGGAAAAGAGGAGACTGAGGGGGGATATGATAGAGGTCTATAAAATCATGAGTGGCATGTAAAGGGTGGATAAAGAAAAGTTCTTCATTAGTTCTCATAATAGAAGGACTAAAGGACACCAAATGAAATGAATGGGTAGCAGGTTTAAAACTAATAAGCAAAAGTTCTTCTTCACACAGCGCATAGTCAACCTGTGGAACTCCTTGCCACAGGAGGCTGTGAAGGATAGAACTTTAACAGAGTTTAAAGAGAAGCTAGATACATTCATGGAGGTTAGGTCCATAAAAGGCTATTAGCTAGGAGGTAGGAATGGTGTCCCTGGCATCTGTTTGTCAGAGGCTGGAGATGGATGACACAAGATAAATTGCTTGATCATTGTCTTTGGTCCACCCCCTCCGGGGCACTGGTGCTGGCCACTGTCGGCTGACAGGCTACCGGGCTAAGTGGCCCATTGGTCTAACCCAGTACAGCGATTCTTATGTTCTTATGTAAGTCCTAAAAGTGAACCTATGTTCTCACTGAATGATGCTGAAGATAATTATGTGGTACTTATTCAATTATGATAATATTTAGTTCATATAGAGAGCTTTCTACCCATTGACCTTGATGTGCTTTACAAATGAGTTCAACATAACAATCTCCATTTTACAGATGGAAGAAACTGAGGCACAGATCTGTGAAATGACTTGCCCAGACCCACCCTGCAGACCAGTGGCAGAGCCAAGACAGAACCCTTGATTTCCAGTCCAGTTCTCCATCTGCTATTCTGATCTGCCTCTCTGTGATAAATAATGAGAATAGCCGCAAGTTCAGTTGCTGCATGAAAGACCATATTCAGTCCTACCATTTTGTGCCTTGTTCCCACTGACCTTAGTGGGAATTTGGCAGGGAAGACTGCAGTCCAAGTTTTATTCCTCCACACACACATGTATCCCATAGGGCTAGCCTGCTTGCTTCCTCTACTGTATCCTTTCTTATGGGCTTGTTTGTTTTCTTATAACAGATTTAGAGCTGTGTATTAAAGTATTTCTGGCAGTAATGCAAGGAACCTACAGACCACATCCTGCATAATGAACTAAAGCATGTTAGCTTACTTAAGTTTGTGACCTTTGGCATAGATCAGTGGCCTACCAATTGTCCTCTATAAACTTAACAGGTACACCACAAAGAACATGGAAATAACCACTACCAAACCAATTCAGTCCAGAAATAACCAACGTGAGCAGGAGCTAATTATCATTACTCTGTATCAATCTGTAAGAATATGCCAGC